ATCCCCCCAAAATCGGACGTTTTTTTCTCTTTTTTCTCCTAAACCCCACATCTTCCCCCCACAAGGGCGACAGTTTTTCTCCTACAAATCTCTTAGGAGTTTTTTCACTGTTTGCTCCTATTTTTTTCACTCCATGACTCAGGATAACTGGCCTCGCCAACAATCTGAGATGCAATTTTTCTGCTACCACGACACATATGTACAAAGAGGGAACTCAAAGGTAATTTACCTACATATCCTTCAATATACTGATACTGAACACAAGTTAGCCGTACGATGAGGCGACGAATTATCACAAGTTGCAGCTCCCACTTATGAAGCAGGCCATGAGTTCAACTTCGCCGCCGGTAAGGCACTTGCCCACGCCAAAACCAATAGGAGCAGAGAACTGATTGAAACCTGGTCCACAGATGGGAATCAGTCAACCGATGTGTCGAATTGGCGCCGGCGTACAGAGCCTTGCGCAATTACGTACAGTCACGGCCAGACGTCTGTCATAGTTAATTGAGCCCACATCCTCTATAGTTGCCCCAGTTTCATTGCTGACGCCCCGATGAACGTTGAAAGTAGAGACGGTTAATTACCCCTCGTTTCATCGCGGTTTCTTCCCCCTCACGACATGATGACCCTTAACAGTTGATTGGTGTACACACAATAGAACTAATCCCTCTTTTGTTATTGTTTCTTATTTCTTACGATGGACTCCTATAAGAGTTGGAAAGCTCAGGATAATAAACAAACTTATCCGGTGTTGGACCATACTTCTTTCTTTCCCACTTTCCGAACTCTCCTGTGCACCCAATATGAACTGAACGCTCACTTTCGAGTCCGTCGTCCAGAGAATGCCGAACTAGTACAAAGAGCACCAACATAGAGCCGTCGAGTTAGTCTCAGCTGAGCGCAATATCTACGTACACTCAGCCACCACAGGAGTTTAATAGGCCATAAACGCATCTATGAAAATGTACGGCGAAACATCGTCCGTCAAACCAAATCACCACACACCTCAACAGCACACAAAAGAACCTGACTGACATCAAACCCCAAAACATGGAATCAGCACCTATCACATTAGTGGGCACTTCTAGCTTGCACATTCACCGCAAGCATGGGACTGATAGGAAACATAGAAATCCATCGCACAGAGGCTAGTAAATTAGGGCCCAACGCACTGCTATAACCTTGGGCGTGCCCGCGTCGACCTGATTATATCCCCCAGTTGCGTGTTAGGAAGAGAAGGCAAACTGGATAGCAGATAATACTTTACTGTCACAGTTCCTGCTAGTACATCAGCTCTCTCTTCTGTGTGTCCGACAGCAGCGTGTCTTCTGTCGTCAGTAGCGCGTCTCGGCCAACAGGTCTCGTGTCCCAGCAGCAAAATGCCTACTCCAGCGGTGGCAGCGCATGTAAGGACCGGCAATCTTTGTTCCCAGTATATTTATATTCAGTATATTTAAGGTCTATAGGCGTAGACCGAAACTGTAAGTGTATATTTGGGCTAAACCCGTCAATCACTGTGAAATATGCACAGCTGTGGAACCCACTGGTGAGCCGGACCCCTCGCAGTTGTGTCAAGCAGCGGCAGAATACCGACGAAACACGCGTCTAGGCCTTTTAGCTAGTACCTAGGCTGTTGGTGTAGTAAGTTTCAACATCAATATATACTACTACAGTCTGTCTGTTGGCAGTAAGTGCATATTTCGCAGTGGTTGACGGGTTTCAGCCCAAATATACACTTACAATTTCGGTCTACGCCTATAGACCCTACATATACTGATGTATACCGCGAACAGAAAATCAATTTCTCAGGAGATTAAAAAGCTTAAATTGTCACTATAATCTAATTTACTCGCAAGTCGCCGTCTCTGTGCCTCCTTGAATTGTTACCTACGATGGACCTCGTCCGATACGACGGTCGAACGCTTGATGAGTATATAACTTCAAGCGTTTGCCCTTAAATGGATGCAC